GGGATTCACAAGCAGGTACTTTCAGTGCATAGGAGGACAGTAAACCAGAAGAAATATGACCTCAAGCAACTGTAGCAGGGTATCAGCCTCTGGCTCCTCAATGCGGTGCTGTGAGGACATTTTTCCTGTCATCGCAACCGTTCCTCTTAATCGACGAAAAATGACGATTTTAGACTCGTGTACGAATCCGTCGATTGAATAAGGAAAAGACTTGTTCGGAACCAATAAGGACACGGACAGCGGGATTCGGATAACGAATCATAAATCATCAGATCAAATTGACCACTACATCAACCGTTAAAACCACTACCTATTTCTCAAAGACTACATCTGGAAATATTAACTTTAAACCGCATATTTAAATTCTGTTTCGAAAGAGAATCATAACACTAAAATAAACTTTATTTGGGGCATTTTGATCGTCGGTACGTAGTGAAAGTTGAAAATAGTTTTATTTACATAAAACGCGGAAAGTAAATTGTTCATAAACGAAAAACAGCGGATGGCGGTCGTAGGTTGGTGTTGACATTGCTACCGTTTGTGGTCTGCAGAGGATTGTTGGTTTGCTTAGAGCAACAAAATCGATGCTGAATTCCAAACCTGCCAATTGGTGGGATGGTTTTTATCTAGGAGCATTCAGTCAGCAAATGGATCGATCAGAACAACAAAAACCGGTACAAAATCTGTCGCCATCATGGTCACTTTTTTGCCGTCAACGGCCTTCTAAAGAGTGAAGTGAACGCAGAGATTCGAATAAGGTTTGGCCACCGCCGAACTCGCTCTCTGACTGTGTAAATTGGTTTAACCATTTTCGCCTTCGGTATAAATGTAAATGAAGAATTCGAGTTAGCAGAAAAACTAAAGCCACAAAATAAAAAAAGAATAAAACAAATAGCTGAGAGAGAATAAAACAATCGAACCGAAACAATAAGACAAAGACAAAGAATTTTGGAGCACTGCTGGGTCAAAGGTCGTTCGGAAGAAGCTGAAATGACGCAGCCTGTTAATTAACTTTCGACCAGACGTTCACGCATTGAGGCTGAGGTGTCTTTCGGCGATCAATCAGCGCCTAATCGGACGGGAAGACACGCAACCACGACCGACGACCAACGACGAATGTGACACATTCCCTCTATTGATTTACTACATGACGGATCGGGTCTTGCGGGGGACACGATAGAAGAAAGAACCAGCACTGAACCAAACGGCCACCGCCAAAATGAAGACCGCACAGAGACAGCCACGAGATTACGACTCATACTCATTGCTAGCCGCACTCACACTCGCATCAGCAGTCGAACCGACTTCTCATACTCAAGCCAATCCTCGCGTTACATAACAGCAGATAATACTCAAAAAGTCGGAAATAAGTTGCTCACGTCGCGCTCACTACAAACTCGTCCGTTCAGGCTAAGATACACCTGATGACAAGACATTCAAGGATGCTATCTATGACGGCCATCACGGCTTGTGCTAAGCATTTTGTTGATGTCGGACAGTTTGGCGGACCGCTCGATCAACAAAAACTCTATTCTATCAAATAGACCCCGCAAAAGCCAATTAGGTATTTATATCCATCATTGCATGACCATTTGGTCACATCACTTAATCCCTGTGTACCAACGGATAAATGCACCACTAAACTGTAGTCGAAACGTCAGCGCAACAGGACAGCCGCCCAGGATGACGTTATTGCCAAAATCAAGTAATCACCAACACAACATCGCTATCATATAAAACTCATACCGGAGAGTAGGAATGTAAAAAGCGGCGGTCCCGACGACGTCTGCCATTCAGAGTTCACCATCAACCGGAAGCGGATGATTGAAAATCCTCGACATTCACGAAACAACGATTAACACAGCTACCAAATACCAACTTCCAATAACCACAGCGGACGGAACGCGTTTTACCCTCATTTCGCGAACACGGCCGTTCAATCGATCTACAGTATTCTTGTCCCTATTTACCTGCAAATCATTTTCTCTAATTC